TTCTAAATATAAATTGAGACTTTAATTTTTTTTAGAGTAAGGAATAATATATACTAATTTTTATTATTTTTTATAATTTATCGTTAAATATATTAAAAATTTATTTATACTCCTTTTTTTGTGCTTTCATTTTTTTTATTTTTTTTATTTTGTTCATTTGGAGAATAGTTTTGCCTACTAAATAAATTGTTAGAATCACTTAATCTTTTAAATTTTATGGTTTAAAACATTAATTTTATTTAATTTAATGATTAAAAATAATTAGTAATTATTATTAATTAAAAATAATAAAATAATTAATATTTATTACTTATTAAAATTAATTATTTAAAAATATATATTTTTTGACCACCACAACCATTCCTATCTATTTAGTGTTGTTTTGTTTATTGGACTAGTTAGTACCCAGTTGCCATTACCATTTTTAACGTTAACAGGCTTTGGATACCTCTCTATCTCAGACAAATGGAAAATTGACCATTCAATAACTTCTGTAGATTCAACATGTCAACTCAACATGACACCTCGACACAGCATTATTGTGTCAGTGTTATACCTCAATACAAATTGCAATAGCTTCGAACGAGGCTAAAAACCTTGTAATTTGAAGATGAATAATAAAGTCACAGTGTCACAAGTATCATGGACATATTGGAATTTAGACAAGCCATGGCATATATTATTTTGTACAAACTACACTTTATTTAAAGGAAGCAAATCTCTTAATATTAAAAACTCATTCTTTATTCCATAAATAAAAGTGGTGAAACCCGCCCTGGTTGAAAATTTTACATTGATAGAAGACAAATTGGTCAAATGAGTAATACTTATAAGACATAGAGAAACATGTAAATACAAGGAAAAATGAAGTAATGTTTGTTGGTATTATGGAGTAGGTACAAATATACATGGATACTACATACATTTCTTTAAGGAGTTCCAATAGTTTGAAACTGGAACTCCACCTCAAGTTCAATCCTTGAGATTGGTTGGAGAAATTTGGGTAGAGAAAAAAATGGCTATCTTTAATTATATAGCCGACAAATAGATATACAAAGAAAAAAGGAGAAACACAAGCATACATCAACCTCCCATACTTTTACATGGGCAAGAAATCTCACTAGGATAATGCTCTTTGCTGCTGTTACTGGATGCCAGCAAATTGACCTGCATGCGAAATATTTTAGCATATTGTCTACAGAGTGAGATGGACAATACCATAAACACATGAAACAAAATATACCTTAACAATTTCAGATTTTGAGCTTGGACGCGTATAAGCAGCTAAGATACTCAAGTTGAAATCCTGGGAGAAAGGATGTTGAAAATTTTAGAAAGGGGATGGAAAATAGATTCTACACCATGTTATGGGAACATCAATTATGCATAGGCTCAACCCTTCTACCATCAATAATAAAAAGTAACAAAGAGAACACAAACAAGATGAGCTGACCAAAGAAATGACTCTACAAAGAGATGAGTTCACAAATAATTATTAGTAAAAGATATGATAAAGGAACAAACCAACATCACAACTTGGTCTTCTGAATGGATATGCATAATTTGAATGAAATCATTGATTATATTTTACAATTAATGGTTGTATAAAGTTTTCACCCAAGGCAATTTTAGAAAGTGAAATGGAAATTTTCAAAATTAAATCACACAGTTACAAATGAAAAGGCCAGCATACACCATTTGGCGCATTCGGAAAGCATGGATCCACCTAAGATCTCATGATTGACATGGTGCAACATATGAATTATGAAATCAACAAGGAAAGCAAAACTTTAAACATAATAGTAAATGGAGAATCAAATAATGTTTTGTCTGCTTTATTTACTGCCAAGTAATAATTGAAACTCACCCTGAAAGGATCCCCTCTCAATGATTGCACAAACATTGAACTCCCTGACCCTTTTCCCTGCAAAAGGAAATGTGTCAACTACATATGGTTTTAGCTGTAGTTTACCAACCCAGAGTTATGGCACACTGATAAAGGCATTTTTTTTAATCAAAAAAGTTATTGTACATAATGTTCCTTATTACTTTTTGACTTGATCCAACGTTTAAGACAGAAATGGTTTACAGTTTTGATCTTAAAAGCGAAGTTCCATAAATAATGAAGTTAATTTTCAGTGCTCAAACTTCAAATTACTGCAACAGATAATTGTTCAAGCTACCATAACAAACACAAGTATAACTGATACTACTATAGCAGTTTATTGCAGACAATTTTGTCTTGTACTTCCATTATCCATACTGGGCTTTATCTAGTCTAAGTCAATAATGAGTAAGACCTAAAGTAGTAATACATCATCCTTGTAACATTTCATGAATAGCCAAACCAATCTGTCTGTAAAGTAGGACCGCAATTTTCTCATGTAAGATGTTTAATGAACATCTATGAAAAGTTAACCCTTAAGCTTGCTTTGAGTATGCAGCTGTTTGGACATAATTTTTCTTTGTTTGCCTCTGTTGGCTAATCTCTTCATCAGTGGTTAATCTTACCTTTTCTAACATTATCTACAACTTCTTTCTCTATTTAATATCCTACACTTCTAGTTTTCACACTGCAATTCACAGGCAAGGATATCTACAATTTCCAATGAAAACAAGCCCCAACTGCTAAATTAATTCCCAAATTCTAAAGAAATGGCTAGTTGTATTCATATTACAAATTAGAGCTATCCCACTTCATTTCAGTTAAAAGATACTACAAATCCTACCATATTTTCCTGTCAGAATGTCTCTCCAAGTCCAATGTCCTTGTCCTCAACCACACCCACAGAATGAAGACAAAAGGGGCAGAGAGAGATATCCTATATTACAGTAAAAGCAAAGGACAAAGGAATCCAAATTTGAAGACCAACATACCTCCAGAGATATATCCCTAAGACGCCTCCCTGTCTGAGCACAGCAAACACGGACTACATGTTCATCACAACTTCCACTGATAATATAGTCCCTTCCATTCATGTAATAAGAACGAGTATAATTTTGTGAGCTTCCAGTGGCAGGTATCTCAAAATTCAGGTGTAGCCTTCCATCAACTGCTAAAAGCTGTTTTACCTGTCAACTTCTAAATGTTACAACACATACTAATTTATTGACTCAAAAGAAATATTTATCAAACATTCTAAGTGTTCTGTTATCTTCAAAATCAGAGAGTACAACAAAATTTTCTTAAAAGACGATAGTACTAATTTCAATATTTCAAACTAAAATTAAAAAGCATCATTTACAAAAATGTACAGAATATAGTTTACACGGAGAAAAGAATAAAACCAACCAATTGAAATATTAGCAGAGAAAAGATGAAAGAACCCACATGAAAAATGGTAATTCCAGAGTGGACATAGTGCTGCTTCCAAGCCATGGGGTCCCAAAAAATTTATGGTCTCACCTAAACAAGGTCTTGGGAGGACTAAATCAGAAATGGTGCTAATCTCTAGGATTTCTACATAATTTAGCTGCTTATAAAATTCAAACACATCCTTTCACTTGTTAAACCAAGTTACCATTAAAACAGATGTACAGCCCCCAGCTTCTACCACCCAAACTAGAAAGAGATTAGGTCCACAAGAACAAGTGTCCAAAGACTATTGTGGGGAACAGGGACTGCACACAAACTTCCTGTGGCCATTCTCGGAATCAGAACAGAGTGGTTCAGTTCATTTCATTAAGGAGTCTTCTTAGTTACATAAACATAGCAAAATTTTATTTCTGACATGGACAAAATCTACTCATATGACCCGTTATCAGCTACTATTCAAATAAATGGAACAAACATAGACAGTCCAGATCATGCTTAGAATTATTGAAACATTACCTCATTGTCAACAGCTGAAGCAAGAAGATAGTGATCATCTGGAGAAAAGCAGACCATCACATTTCCCTTGGAACTTGAAGCAGTGTAGCAAGGCCTTATTGGATTCTGCCTCAAGTCCCACAGTTTAATATCCTGATCAAATGAAGAAGTAGCAAAAATCGAGGGGGAATGGTTCGAAAACTTGACCACATTAATATGCTCTCGGTGCATCTCAGTGAAGACCTGCAAGCGCCTTCCACTATTGATGTCATATAACGCAACATTTTTTGAGTATCCACTTGCAAGGAAGAGTTCATCAGTAGAGTTAACATGAACAGATGTCAGTTGATCAAACTCATCAAAGGTGACAGAACCAAAACCACTATGCATCCCCACAACAGTTTTTGGCACAAGCCGGATATCATAGAGCTTCAGTGAACCATTATCTGAACCAGCTATAAGCTGAAAGGACCAAAAACATTTAGTCAGAAATTTAATATGGTAAAGAAACATATGCTATTGAAGCTCACTGTTCAATATCATGATAATGAAACCATATTTGAAAGTCATAAGAATACTCCATGCCCTCAACCACTCCAACCCCCCCTTCTCTCCTCCTCCCTCTCCTCCAAACCACCAAGAACAGTATTTGCATTTTACTAATCTTCAGCATTCACAACTATTTTTCTTACAGTTTAAGATCTCAAAAGACCTCTGCACCTGCACCCCACTGTGCTCCCTTTTCCCTTTTTCCAATAACAAATATGGGTTCAGGTTGCTGAATATAAAGGGAAGGAATGAGCACTCTAAAAGTAGAAAACATGACTTCCTATAATGCTACTAAATTCCACAAAAGAAAAGGAAAGAAAAATTTTATGTGAGGATATGCATTTTTGAAAATAGAGACCACTACAACATCCTCACCACACAAACACAAAGTCCTCATTATTCACATACCTTAGAGGGATACTTCTTGAGCCAACAGAGTCCCAACACGCTATTCATTGCCCCAAGGGATGGAATGTAACTAACAATTTTCTCATCTTCATGGTTGACAACAACTACTTCACCATCTAAAGTTCCAAAGACCATTAAGCTGGAGTCAGACGGATGATACTCAAATTGCCTAGGGCGAAAGCGCCTACTTTCATCTCCTGTGCTGCCAGAGATAGAAAGTGGATGCAAGAATGGCCAAGCAGAAGATCCCATTTTGGCGGCACAAAGAGACCGGGTATAGAAATATTGAGACTTCCCAGAACAAACTGATGGCCTTTGCTTAGGGGTCTGCAAGCGATTGTGGCTTGCTTTTATTTCACGCTTCTGCAAGATATTAACAACACTCTCTTTATGCTTCCTTTTGTACGGAAGGTACTCAAAATGTTGCGAAAATGTTATATTAGCCCTTTCCCTGTCCATATTCCTGATAGGCAAGTTATCCAAAACTTTTAATTGCTGTAGTGAGGCAATCATGTATTCCCTATAATGTTTCTCAAAGCATATAGGTGAAGCATGCTCAGAAGTATATTTCAACAAAACATCTTCAACATGGGAATCTTCAACATGGGAATCTTCTTCACTTCGATTCAACAATGTAGCAGAAGAAACCTGCCAAATCAATTAGAACTCAAATTATCAAGCTTTAGAAGGAAAAACACAATACAAGGGAAGAAAAACAGATCCAGTTTAAAGTAGAAGTTTCATCATCATTGATTTGAACATAAGTCAAAATTTGACACCACAAGAAAATGACTTCCAATCCTCAACATCTGACCATCCACATAAATTTGAGGCCCAAACAAACTCAAAATTAGAAGATAGACCCAAAAAGATGATAATAGATTAAAAATAAAATGAAACCTTGGAAACTATTATTGACCTCTATCCTACAAAGAACCTCACCACCAAAAAGCTGATCCCAGCTGACACAATCAGTAATTATTAAAGATATACGGGTAAAAACATTTTCATTAGAACCCAACTCTCAAGTCTCAAGCCTTCCAACCCCATCCTATTGTCAAGGCTAATGTGATTTTAACTCAAGAATCACAACACTAATGTAAGAGGGCATGTGATTTTACCTCTCTCTGCAGATTAATCCGTCCATTCCACCCAGTAGGCTGATTAGATGATGGGTCAATGTAACCATGTTCTTGTAAGTGAAATGAAAAATCCATTTCACTGTCATCTGATGATTCCTCATTTGTGCCTGAAAAATCATGATTTATACTGAGTGGAAGCAAATTTCTAATTGCCTCCTCAGTACTTGATGTCAGATCAAGAAGTTCCTCAAGATCAAAGGACGATGCATCAGAATGAGTTTCACTGTTTGACTGATGGAAATTAGTTTTTCCATTGCCATCAGATAACCCAGATGATCCAGCATCATTGCAACACAACCAGTTCTGAAACCTAAGTTCCACCAAAGAAGGGAGTTTGGAAAGTGCAGCAATGGTGGTCCAGAGATTTGCAATTTTTGTTTCACACATTGAGAGATAAATCAGCTTGGGCATGCATGAAAAACATTCTTCCCGGAAACTAGTAAGTGAAGTGCTATGGTCAAGGTTAAGGGCATGTAGCGACTTAAACTCTCCCACCATGTTGAGCTTCCGGAAATGTGAAGACCTCAAGTTTAGAACTTGGCATGGTAGACCTCTCTGAGAAAGCTCCCTGAGAGTGTAACTCAAATTAGTCATAACTGATCAATAATATATGCAAACCATCTCACTTCCCAATTAATGCATATTTGCCAGACTGACAATTAAGTAAAAGGCCCCTCATGCATTATATACAAAGACAGATAATGATAACAGTTTAACAAATAGCTTACTTGGGAATTTAAGCAATAGAGAGAGCATGAGATAAATCAAGTTCTACCAAAGAGGTATGAACATCTTCAATATTAAGTAATGGAATGTCAGGCCCATCTTTATTCAAGCACTGAAATTCAACATAGCAGTTTTGATGATGACAATATTTAAAATTCTCTCTGTCCCTCTAATCAGTTCAAGCTACCAACATAGACATGATTATAACACAGACAATGATGACAACGTATGAAATTCTTATAATCCCTTGATATCGTTTCTCTTTAAATCTTTTTATCGAACAAGTTTTTGTTTCTAAAATTATGCAAGAATTTTTTTATCAAAAAGTAATCTCATTTCTTTTCTTCAAAATTTGAAAACTAAAAATAAGTAAAACTTATAAAACCAAACAAAAAGAAAAAGAAGTTGAAAACAATGACAAAAATACAAAGACAATGATGGGGAAAATGTACCAAGTTTGAACAAAGTCACATTACTGAAAGACAAGGTACAATAAACATTGCAATATACCGCAAGAAGTCTTTTCCAAATGAAACATCTTGAAGGTCAACTACTCGAAGCCTTTCCTTGATGGCTTGCATCAGTGCCAAAGCATTTTCTCCAGCCAATGCACAAGATGAATCATTACGTACATCAACTGCTTCAATCTCAGATTCACCAATTTTATAACACACTTCAAGCAGCGGATGGAAATCCATATCATTTAATTGGTCCAGTAATATCTCTATACTACACAGCTCGCAGCGGGATTTTTTAACCTGAGCCTGCATAATTGGTTCCACCAAACAAACAGAATATTATGGTTAACACTAATGAAACAGATATAAAGTGCACCCAATAATGATTTCTTTAAGGGAATTGAAATACAAACCTGGTAGAGAGAATGCAAAAATCCAGAGTTTGGTGAGACTCCATGCCTCCTGCAAGCATCAATGTACCTACAATCAAAGCATGAATATACAAATTAGAGAAAAATCAAATGCATAAATACGTAAAAATGAAAGAAAACCAAACAATTAGCCGAAAGTAATTTCCATTAATAATAAGTAAAATTAAAATTAGGCTCAAAAAATAAGAAAAATTTAGGTTCACGTTCACCAATATTAATTCCAGCAGATAATGATATTTTAGTGCATCAAGAACTAAAATTTAGAAATTTAATGAGGAATTTAATAGTCTAAATAAACAAAGGAAAATAAATTAAACATGCAGATTAAGAAAATTAATAAGCTCAAAAAAATTTTCCCCAAATTAACGTCGACTTACATTTCTTCCAGACTTATAACGTCAATGGCCATGGCGATTAGCTCTGGTGGTGGTGGTGCCGCCGGAGAGTATCAAATAAGCAGGCGAAAAGTTAACGGCGATTGGCTCTGCCGGTTCCGGCGAATATATATGGAATAAGCGAAGAAATCTTCTGAGAATCTCCGAAACGGCTTTTACTTTCCCAAAAATTATTCCCTTGTGAAGTTTGCGGGTACGTGGTTGCTTATATATAAGGACGGAGAAAGTGAAGGAGTAGGTGTGGGTTTCAGGTGGCTGGCAAACGCTGGGACGTTAACATATCCTTTATCCCTGATATCACCCGTGGGCTGTGTGGATGATGATCTACCGTTGATTCCTTCGTGCATTTCAACTGTTCTTTTTCTTTTTTTTTTTTATTACGCAGAAAAATAAAATAATCACCAGTTCTTTTTACCCCCTTTTTTTAAAGAGAGATATTTTTTTAATTGTGAAAAATTATTGAAGAGAGGTTTTTTTGGATGTTAGAAGATAATTATTAACTATTAATTTTAATTAAATAATTTAAATATTATAAATTATAAATAATTAGTTAAATATTATTATTAATTATTAATGATGTTAAAGCAACTAATTTAACACATGGTTTGTTGATCTATTTGAAAAGAATTCAATTTCTCTTAAATAAAATATCAAATTTGAGTTTTATAAATAGAGAAATAAATGTTGAAGAAATTTCACCTTATGAAACATGATGCGACTTAATTTTAAATTAATTAAAATTTAATGTGACCTACAGATATCAAGAAATTAAT